TGCAGTAGTGTATCAGTTAATGAGTGTTGTATTAAGTGTATGTTTACCTGTTATAGGACCAGGATTGAGTTCAACATCTCCTGATAAGAGGAGGAGGAGAAGTAAAACCAAATAGTAGATCAGGTCAGAGCTACTCCCAATAGTAGCTATAAACAAGACTAATGACTGGAGGCAGTGGATCATAACAGTAACAGTAATTATACCTATTGTAAATACACTGTATGACAATATTATATACTGTTAGTTTGTTTACCAGTTGGAGGAATAAAATTGAGCTTCATATATCTTAATAAAGATAAAAGAAGAGAAACAATAAGAGACAGAGCTGCTGGCAGTTTAGATGTCTTCTCTCCTGATGTAGTACTGCCTGACTTGCTGTCTACTGCAGCTTTGAATGAGTGAGAGTGGCGGCCATTAGCTGGTCTACTGGAGGCAGCTTGACAGTAGTTCCAAAGTCCAATACTTGCTCTCCATTGAGAGACATCAATCATCTTGTAATTATTAGTAAAGTATAATTAAAATGAACTATAATATACTTACCTCTATCACTGTTAATGATCAACTGTTGTAAGATAAAGAAATGAAAAGATACAGTCAAAAGTACAAGCCAGAGGTACAAGCCAATTATGCTGCACAGCTGCAGTTGAAAGAGGGCGTGGCTCCTTAACGATAAGCTCCACCTACAAACCTATTTAGCCACACCTCCTGATTACTGTAGAGATTTGAGGTAACATAGTTTGTGCTTATAATTATTATCTTTTCAATCAGTTATTGATCTTATATTGTCCTTTAGGTACTTTATAGTCTGTGTATTAGTGTATCAGTACCGTATATACTCGTATTGAATCAGTTGGCATGGTAACTGATAAATAAAGGTGTGGTCTATACTGAATTTCATTCTATAGGTATTGGATGATGTCAGTACAGGGAGGATCACGTGATAGGTCACATGACTTGATATCAACTGCCGTTCCTCGTGTGAACGGGTGGGAGTGTCCCTGGCACCCACTTCAAGTGAGAAACCACACCCACTAATGATTGTGTAATATTTATTAGCGTTTTAATAAAAAAGACATTCCTTTTTCCTTTTAAAGATATTACAATATAGGGGGTATATTTCCCAAATATACCCCTAAAATATTCCACGAAAATTGCCTTTCAACCTATTCACAGGAAAAAATTTTTGCATTTTTCTTCTACTGACCATTATTAGTATGGTAAAAATAGTTTTCATGTATAAAAATTTTCACAAATTTTTTAAACCGTGAAGTGAGCGAAATTAAATCTAGAGTTGCACTGATACAAGAATTTGCTGATGTTTAGATTAAATAAAAACTGATTGTATAAAAACTGCTGATACAGATGTACAGTAAGTACCGATTCAAAAGAAATCTTTATTTTTTATTTTTAGTTTGCGAAAAAACACAGCTGGTTACAAATTGCTAACTTACATGTATCTTCTTTGCTAGCAAGTGAAGTACTGCCATATTGATGACCTTCTTTTTGACATTTTGGATCATATGGCTGGTACGGGTTTAGTTAATAACTTTTATTAATTAATTATTAATAGTTATAATAATCTGCAATGAACTTCACCGATTCAGATTTCATAAAAATGGCATGTATCTGCAGATTCCGATTATTTTATTGGTAAATGGTACAATTCTAATTAAATGGGAACTGTTGTTATGGCAACTGTTGCTAAAGTGATGGTTTGTGTGGGCGTTTGTGGGAAACTTGTATGGATTCTGTTTTTGATGTTTTAGTGTTGTACCATTAAAAATGTATTTTGACAACACATAATTGTACAGACTAGCCTCTATATAATGGACACTTTGAAAGTGTCTCTGTTATACAGAAGTGTCCTTTATGTGGAGGTTATTTTATACAGTAAGGAATGTAATTGGTACACTAGGTGCTGTCCGTTAAATGGAGGTGTACGCTATAGAGAGTGTCCATTAAGAGAGACTATACTGTAGATAAGTGTATTATTGATTCTCATTCCATTGTACAGGTACTCTTGTAGTAACAATGTTAATTAATACAGTAATTACTGATGGAGTGAGTATATTATTAT